CCCCACCCCACCCCACCCTACTGCCCCAACCCTACCCTTTCACGCGTTTTAACAAGAGACTCTCCTACTATCGATAACGCACAGACGCAGGCGCCTCTGCGATTATCTTATTCTCTCTCTCTCTCTCTCTATCTCTCTATCTCTCAAATTCTTCTTTTTGGAAAGGAGGATGCAATTCTAAATGTAGAGTCAAAATCTACCACCTTTTTTCGCGACCTCCGCCTTTTTCTTTACACCTACGCTTCCACCAGCTCCTCCTCCTCCTCCCACCTCTTTCTTATTTTTCGCCTCTACTAATTCCTCTTCTTCTTCTTCTTCTTCTTCTCTTCTTCTACTACTACTTCCTCTTCCTTCAATTGCGTTTTTCGCTCTCCTTGGCCGTGCGATACGCGGGACGCGCACGCGCGTCTCTTTCTCTTTCTCTTTCTCTCTCTTTCGCTCTCTCGGTTGTGCGCGCGCGCGAGAGAGAGAGAGAGAGAGGTATTCGCATATACACACACTAAAGCGAGACCAGAGGGTTTCGCCCCTGCGCGCGTTCGTTCAACGACCCGCGACTCCTTGATTTTCTCTTTTCTTTCGTCTCCCCTTTTTTACCACTATTCCCTCTAACTCTCTCTTTCTTCACACCGAAAAGAAAATATCTTACTGGTATTTAAGTTCTCGCGCGCGCACGCGTATGCGTGTGTGTGTGTGCGCGCGCGCGCGTGTGTGTGGTGTGTGTATGCTCGGAAAATCTTGGAAGACTTTTAAATGAATTACTTTATTTTATTTTTATTTTTGTTTTTATTTTTATTTTATATGTATATATATATATATATATATATATATATATATATATATTTTTTTTTATTTACGCGATAATTTATTTTCCTATTTAAATATAATTTTAATTAATCTCGTTAAATTTATATTAGCCAGATTTACACTGTTATGCCTATACGTTCCTTTTCGGAAATACTTTATTGATAACTCCAAACTACCACCCGGCTAAACTTGCGCGAAACAAACGCCGCGACGTTCAAATGCAAACTGAGCCTGCCGCTTTTCTATACACTGCACCACGCCGCGAACCACTCTACTATCGGTCTGATCCGTCCAACCAATCTCCACTTGATCTCCTTCCACCAATCATCATCGTCCGTCGTTCCCCCACTCTCTTTACAAGCTGCTCGTTCTATCTTTTTTCCTCTTTCCTACCTCCGAATAGATATTCGTATCGACTCTTTTTATCAACTATTTCGTCGCTTTCTTTTTTCATTTTACAGTTAAACGAATAATTGTTGTTGCAAAGAAACTCAAGCATTGATAGCAAAGCACTAAATTGAATGTATGTCTCGCGTTTTTAAAAAATAAAATACTTTAATCAGTTAGAAGATATGCATTATGGAATCATCATCTATCCTTGTCTAACTTATCGAAGTACAGCGAGGCTGTCATTTTGTCAAATGCATTCGCGCTAAATTTGAAAGATTTGATAAGGCATCTCTTCATTTCAGATGCTTAAACGAGATCAAATAAATATAAGTTTTGATTACAAAAATATACTATTGTCGATAAGGGAAAAAGATTAATAATTACTACAATAAAAGATACACAGGTAGAAAATGTTTAATTTAAAGGAAAATTTTAATCAACAAATTTTAATTAAAGCGAATTTTTTTATAATTTCATGCTAACGCCATCTATTGATCCTGTATACAATTATAATGTAGTTGAAGTGGTCAAGCAAGAATTTCTTATCATTGACTGGTAAGCTTTATTCACGCGAAATTTGAAAAATGTCATAGAGTTCTTATTGATCATAAACATCTAAATAAATATTTAAATATAAATTATCTTTTAACTATACATTTCTGTTGACTTATGAAATGAATGAAATGTCTTTTAGAGAAATAAACAAGAAAATTGGATTAAAAGTAAGATTGGTTTTTCTATACTACCGCCATCTCTTAATTCTTAGTATCATCATAATGCATTTCATGTGTGTGTGGTCAAAAAGCAGTTTTTTTTCTTTAGAAATGCAATAACGGAGCTATATACAAAGGAGGACGATCGAGATAGGCGTTTGCGTCGAATTTGCGTCGAATTTGCGTCGAAGACTAAACAACTAGACGCGCTCTCTAGTGGCAATAGACATCATTCTTTCATTGTAAATATTGTATCCACATTTATAACACGGCGATCATCCTCCTTGTATATAAGCCCCATAAATGTAATGTTCAATGCTGTAGACAACGTGTAAATAGCAAACGATTGTTTAAACTTTTTCTCTTCGAAATAGTTATAAAATAAAAAGTATAATAATCTTAGAGAAATATAAAGTGTAAAAGTTAACCATGGTCCGAAAATCAAAAGGTACGCTTATTTCATTCTATTCTAATATCTAAAAAATATTTTGTATAATAAGTTAAAGGTTATATACCATAATTTATCCATAAAATAATCCTCTCAATAGAATTTACACAAAGCAAAGAGGAACGTATGGTCATTACAATTGGAGAAATTATACAAGACTTATTGAAAGCTCACCAAGAGAACAGGGATGTTGATTTAAATAAATTGAAAACACGAATATCTTCAAAATATGGATTGGATAGATCTCCTAGACTAGTCGACATAATCGCTGCTGTACCTGCTGATGCTAGAAACATTTTAGTACCTAAATTAAAAGCCAAGCCAGTTAGGACAGCTAGCGGGGTTTGTTCTCAAATAATACAACCTTATAATTTAATGCAATAGATAATAAATAATTATTTCCTCGCAGATAGCAGTAGTAGCTGTTATGTGCAAACCGCACAGATGTCCCCACATCAATATGACCGGAAACATTTGCGTATATTGTCCTGGAGGACCAGATTCTGATTTTGAGTATTCGACACAATCATACACTGGTTATGAACCCACATCTATGAGAGCTATACGTGCAAGATATAATCCATTTTTACAAACAAGGCATCGTGTTGAACAAGTATGATTAATATCTTCTATTATATATTCTTCTATTATAACAATATTCAATTTTCTAAAATAATATTATTCATTAAACAGTTGAAACAATTAGGACACAGCGTTGACAAAGTCGAATTTATCGTGATGGGTGGAACATTTATGTCTTTGCCAGAAGATTACAGAGATTACTTCATAAGAAATTTGCACGATGCTTTATCCGGTCATGTAAGCAATAATGTGGATGAAGCAGTCAAGTATTCAGAACGGAGTCGTACCAAATGTATTGGAATTACCATTGAAACACGGCCGGATTATTGTTTAAAGAAACATCTGTCAGATATGCTGCGCTACGGGTACACAAATTATTTCAATATTAATATATTTTTAATCATATAAATATATATAATTTCATGTTGTTGATGTTCCAGGTGCACGCGTCTTGAAATTGGTGTACAGTCTGTATACGAAGATGTTGCACGAGATACAAATAGAGGACATACAGTTCGTGCAGTATGCGAAAGTTTCCAGTTGTCAAAAGACGCAGGTTTTAAGGTTATAGCTCACATGATGCCAGATTTACCAAATGTTGATATAGAAAGAGACATCGAACAGTTCATCGTAAGTAATTTAAATTTTATATTATTATTTTTTTGGTAATAACAATCTCAAGCTAAACATATCTTTATAATATAGGAATTTTTTGAAAATCCTGACTTTCGTGCAGATGGTTTAAAAATTTATCCAACATTGGTAATACGTGGTACTGGATTATATGAGTTATGGAAAACCGGTAGATATAAAAGTTATGCGCCAAGCCTTTTAATTGATTTAATTGCACGAATTTTATCTTTAATACCACCATGGACACGTGTCTACCGTGTACAAAGAGATATACCAATGCCTTTAGTCAGGTAACATTATTACAATTACATTCTCCTTGTAACACATACATATCTCTAACAATAAAATATTTCATCAATTTTTAAATAGTTCCGGAGTGGAACATGGTAATCTACGTGAATTGGCACTAGCAAGAATGAAAGATTTAGGTACTGACTGTCGTGATGTTCGTACACGTGAAGTAGGAATACAAGAAATACATAATAAAGTTCAACCTTATGAAGTTGAATTAATACGTCGTGATTATGTTGCCAACAACGGATGGGAAACGTTTCTTTCTTACGAAGATCCTATGCAAGATATTCTAATTGGTTTACTTCGTCTAAGAAAATGTTCTTCTGGAACTTTCAGGTAATTAAATTAAAATTAAATACATTCTTTCTACAAAAACACACACACACACAGATTTCCATTGACGGGAAGAATTTTTAAAAACGTTTACTTTTACAGATCCGAATTGAAGGATAAATGTTCCATTGTGAGAGAACTTCATGTTTATGGTAGTGTAGTGCCAGTTCATGCTCGTGACCCTACCAAATTTCAACATCAAGGTTTCGGTATGCTTCTTATGGAAGAAGCTGAGCGCATTGCAAAAGAAGAACACAACTCTGACAAAATTTCTGTTATTTCGGGCGTTGGTACGAGAAATTATTACAAAAAATTAGGTTACGAATTGGATGGGCCTTATATGTCTAAGATGCTTGTATGATAATGTAAATAATAAAATTTGTTTTACATACATGATTATTACATCGTATATCTTGTCAAGAATACTATATATTTATAAAACTTGTTAACAAATGTGAATTCAGAAAAGAGTTGAATGTTGTTCGGCAATAAATTAGGCAAACAATATAACATAATATTAAATAGTAAAAAGAAGTTTGTGGTGAAATTACATTTTAATGTAATATATACTGACCTAATGCAAAACATAACGACGTCGTAAGAGAGTAATAATTAAGATAATTCTTAAGTGTAAAACTTGATTTAAAAAATAAAAAATAAAAAAAAAGAGAAAGATTTAAAAGTATAATAGGGTTAATCAACAGACCTTTTAAAATCTCCAAAAACAGGTTAGGTGACATTTGAAGATTTTTAACCTTGCGCCACCTGCTGACAAAA